TAGTCGTATGACTCAATTGATTATTATTGGCCCAGTATACGACCTCTGTTTGAACTAATAAATGGCGAACTCCCATCTTGTTGAAAAACAGTGTCAATGACAAAATGACAATTCTTGTGTTAAAATTTACGTGAACACGTCCGCAAGGATGGTTGTAGTAATGTACGCAACAAGAAACACTCTCTGTAATTGTTTATTTTAGTTCACAACACCAAGTCTTCTGTTTAGAAATGTGGTGCACTGTACCTTTACTATAACTTCAACTCGGTAATAGTAGCTGACATAGGAAAGACAGATAGATAGAATTGAACCAGAAATATCGTCGGGTTAGTGTACTTCAAAAATGACCACAAAAGTTTACCAAATGGAAAGTTTGAAATACAGTCGAGCATCGAAATAGGATTCTAGCTAGCGGGGCTGAATCGCATGCCATTAGATGCGTTTAAAGGGCATAGGCTTCTGGTCACTCTAGCGTCAAAATGTTTTTAAACAGTTTACATTTGACCTATTCACAGAATATTAATGCGATTCTTATCGTTTCTTCAATTGATATACTAAGTTCTTAATTGTTAAAGTCATTCTTACGATCATTGCACTTTTATCCTTTTTAATGGATGTGGATCTCGAGGGGATTAACGATTAAAAGAGATTACAAAAATCCCATGATTTGGTTGCAAATTCGAGGAAGAATCACGAAGTTTTGCAAATTAAGGCGGAATACTTAAGATTAAGTCTGTCAAGTTGGGCTAAGTTGCCGGTAATTCCAGTAACTAAGGGCATGGTAATTCAAATTATGTTTTAACGAAATAAGGAATATATGAATTAACATCCATCAGATTTACTTGCTCCGCGTATCCATCTTGTCAAACTATCAAGTTAATATTCACGCGGCGGATAAGATCAATACCCATGTGCATAAGATGTTTGAGAATCAATGAATGACTCACGGAAAGGTGCAGGTTGAGATTCATAGTTCCGATACAGGCTTCTGGGTGTGTGACTCAACAACGTCTAACTAATAACAGTAGTAGGTAGGCCTACAATTCAAAGTCAGTGTAATAAAGAGAGAATGCAAGATATAATATAATTATATGCTGCTAGGTATTAATAATGATGGTGATGATAATTCTATTATACCCCCGGTAATAATATCAACGAAGAAGACGTAAATGATTGTGATGTCGACGATGAGAGTGATATAATAATGATGATGACAACGATGATAATGTGTAAATAAGAATCTTCTATATAAACTTCACCAGTTTCGTCTTACTTTCAGTTTGATTTTATCAGTAAGTTCCATTGCTTTATATATAATCATATACTGTATACATATAATACACATAAGGATGAGTCACGTATGATTATGACGGTGGTGGTGGTGATGGTGATAATGATGATGATGATGAAGATGATGATGATGTTGATGATGATGATGATGATGATGATGATGATGATGATGATGATGAAGATGATGATGATGATGGTTACTGAGCTTTCGTAACATTTACAGTAATTTCATTTTGCTGTTTGATACACATTGGCAATGACTTCCGTGAGACAATTAATTTCCGTGAGTTTCTTGCTTGCGGGAGTGCGCCGGGAGGCCGTCCCAATTTCCGGGAGACTCGCTAGTTCCTGGAGAGATTTGGGAACCCTGAATCCGTATACACGCTTCTATCTATTTCCACTCTATTGGCTTTATAATAAAACAGATTATGTAGTATCATATATCATTATTTTATATAATTATTTAAGAGGGTTCCTAAATATCTGATGACGTTCCAGATTATGCTGGAAGGGTCACCCTCTAAATATAGTTAACAAGTACGGTACCGTAATAAAGACATTATGGGAAAATCTGTAGTATACTAGAGTCTAGATAATTATGTTTAAATGCCACATTGCTTTCGATAAAGACCGGTTTTGGTTCCACCTGTTAAATCAAAATAGCGCACCGTCTTTCGGATGAGACGTTTAGCCGTTGGTCCCGTGTACATTTATGGCCCATGTGCACGTTAAAGAACGCAGTACACTCTTCGAAATGTCGTTGGTCCTCTTGGGTAGTTTCTCCCTTCTAAAATGTGTAACCCTTTTTGCTCGCTTCTAACATTTTTCATTATCTTTAATTATTGTAGGCCTTCTATAATTTAAAATTTTTCTCTGCTTTTTAATGGAATTTTGATGTTGATTCTTTGTTTTCCTTGACCAGTTTTAATGTGATTTTCTTGGAATTGTTCTTTTTGCGAGCTTTATAATTTCTTCGTTTATTTAACTGGAGACAATAAATTTTATCCTGTATCTTGATACTATACTTGCGGTTTCTTTACCCAGGGTTGTGCAAATATTCATGGTTACAGCAGCCTATGTAAATGAGGAGGTACCTGGATTGGCAGTAATTTTCCATCAGTACTGGATTTTATTGTACGGTTCGAAATTCGAAATCAGTATACAATGTAACACTTCAATAAC